TTTTGTATACTTCTCTTGAGTCTCCTATTTGAAGATTGTATTTTCTGTTCAGCTCTGTTCTTTTCATCAGCAATGATTGAAATTCCCCTGTTTCATTGAATCTCCATCTTTTTCCCTGAAAGATTATGTTCATTTTTGCTGGGTAGTTGATTCTTGGTTATAATCCAAGCTTTTTTGCCCTCTGTAATATCATCTTTGAAGCCCTCACATCTTGTAATGCAGAAGCTATTAACTCCCGTGTAATCTTGACTGTGGCTCCTAGATATTTGAATTTTTTTTCTTTCTTGCTGCTTGTAGTATTTTCTCCTAATAATTCTGGAATGTGGCTATAATATTCCTTGGAGTTTTCATTTTCAGTTCTCTTTCAGGAAGTGATCAGTGGATCCTTTCAATGAGTATTTTACCCTCTGGTTCTGGGATATCAGGGCAGTTTTCCTTGATGATTGTTTGAAAGATACTGTCCAGGCTCTTAAAAAAAATCATGGTGTTCACACGGTCCAAAAATTCTTAAATTATCTCTTCTGGATCTATTCATTTATTTTTCAGGTCAGTTGTTTTCTTCAATGAGTTATTTTACTTTTTCTTCTATTTTTTTTTCCATTTTGTTTGACTGATTTTTTTTAAATGTCTCATAGATTCACTAGCTTCCATTTGCCCAATTCTATTTTTTAAGGCCAATTGTACTTTTTTCTTTTTTTTTTTAGGCAACTGGAGTTAAGTGACTTGCCCAGGGTCGCACAGCTAGTAAGTGTGTCAAGTGTTTGGTCTGAGGCCACATTTGAACTGAGGTCGTCCTGACTCTGAGGCCGGTGCACTATCCACTGTGCCACCTAGCCGCCCTGCCAATTGTATTTTTTAAGGAACTGTTGTCGTCATTCAATTTTTGTCCTTTCTTTTCCAAGCTATTGACACTCTCTTGCACACCTCTCACTTTTCCCCCAATTTTCCTTCTGCCTCTCTTACCTGACTTTTAAAATACTTTTTGAGGTCTTCCAAGAAGGCTTTTTGGGCTTGAGATCAATCCATATTCTCCTTTGAGGTTTCACATGTAGGCATTCCAACAATGTTCTCTTCTGAGTTTGTGTTTTGATCTTCCCTGTCACCAAAGTAGCTTTTTCTATGGTCAAGATTGTTTTTTGAGTCCTGTTTATTTTGGGACCTATTCTGTAGATTTTAAAGTTGAGCTTTGCTCCTGGGGCACAGGGGGGCACTGTCCCAGTCTTCTTGTATTGGGGGCCAGGTACATGGTCACTGGCTTTGTGTTCTGGGGCCTTGGGTGCTACTGGCTTACTCACAGCACTGGGGTCACCCAGCCTAGTTGCAACTCTTGTTTCCTGTTTTTCAGGCCTGGCAATCTGCCTTCTGTGCTGGGGCTGGAGGTCTCACAGATAGCCTGCTGTGACACTGGCCTGCTGAGCCAGGACCTAGGCGCCTTAGTTGCTGATGTGTGCACTGGCTTGCCCAGACACTGTCTTTACTGGGCTACACTCCACTTTTACCCAAGTGAAACAGACCTTTTCTGAAGTCCTTTTAAGTTATCTTAAGCTGGAAACTTGTTTCACTGTCTTTTTTGCAGGTTCTATTGCTCCAGAATCTGTTTAGAGGCTTGATCTAACATTGTTTCTGAGGGAAACTGGGGAAAGCTCAGACCACTGCCTGGCTTCTCTGGGCCATCTCGGCTCCCCTTAGTTCTAATCTGGTTGGGTCACCTACTAACTGTGATACCATGAGGAAGTCATTGGACCTCTCCTCTCCATTTCCTTATCTGTAAAAAGAGGAGATTTGACTAAGTGTCCTTCAGGGTCCTTTTCAATTGTAGATCTTTGACCCTGCTCCCCCCACCCACCCCATTTACTCCCATCCTTTTAAAATTTGTTTTTCTTTTAATTGAGCTTTTTCTTTGTTTTAAGTTAAACTTATTGACTATTATCATTCCATTTATTTCAAATGCAACTATCAGTAAAGGAAGTAAAAGATCATATGATCTTATATCTAGAGCTTAAAGACTCTAAGCAAGTCATGCGGCTCAACCCTCTCATTTTACTGATGAGGGACCTGAAAAGGAAAGAGGTTATGTGATTTCTCCTAAGGTATTCATAGAATAAGCAATGAACATACGATTTCAACCCAAGTCCTCAGACTGTAAGAACTAGTGCTCAAATAGAGATTACTTCCCTGTACTTTCTGCCCTCAAATGCTAAAATAAGACATTTTAAAACTCCAAAATATCTGTTATTTTAAACTGATTCTCTGATATATCTTATCCCAATCATTTATTGACTATTTTATTTTCTATTTTTTGAGGGGGTTAACAAGTCACACAATTCCTCTAGCAAGCCTTCTAAAATTCAACTGTATTCTTCTTTTATTTCACAAGAGCCATGGTTTTCAAGAGAAACTCCCTTCTGTTCTTTTATTTGTTATATGTGCCTGTATGTGTGTGTCCTCTTACAATGTATTTGTCAATATTCTGCTTTTAATTATATATATATATATATATTTAAAATATGTGTATACATATATCTATATCTATATATGTATATATATATATAATGTGTGTATACATATATCTATATCTATATATGTATATGTATATATGTATATATATTCTATTTTAAAAATCTAGATTGAAATTGTCAAGAGTACAGGCAACATATCTAATATGTTATCTCTACTATGCCTCTATGATACTTTGCACATAGTAGATATTTCATAGGATCATTGATTATAAAGCTAGAAGAGACCATAAAACCCATCAAGTACAGCCCTTTTATATTGCAGAGAAGATAATTGACTTGCCTAGAATCACACAGCTAGTAAATGTCTATGGGGAAATTCAAACTCCCTTATGCCACACTGCCTTCATAAACGCTTTTTCAGTGGATTGATTTACTCCTTTTCACTATGCTCACTACTTGTAAGTACCTTAAGGTCAACCACTACTTACTTCCTCAATCATGGTAAATAAATCTGGGTTGTTTACCAATAAGTACAATGGAATCAGATATACAAATTTATGGAATGAATGGGACAATTTCTTCATTGATTTGGCACAGATAGATCTTTAGTTCATTAGCCCTAGAGGTCTGGGAATCTACCTTAAAAGTTGTGTTTATATCTCCCTGTGCAGATACTCATATTATCCCTAGTTTGATGAACGCTATATTGAGGTCCTCTCCAATTTAAGGCCCTTATACGCCTTCAATATTCATATATATACACACACACACACACACACACACACACATATGTATATATATGTATATATGCACACACACACATATACATATATATACATATATATGTATATATATATGTATATATATATATTTTCACCTTCAATACAATTGAAAAGAAATGTGAGGGAGAAAATGGAAAAGGTTTAGGCACCTGAGATTTTGGATGCAGTCTATACTGCAGCATGTTTCTCTTTGGACAGTAGGCCATATTGCTCCTGCTGTTCTATCAGATGCTATGACATAAGGCAGCACAGTTATAACCCCTCAATCTTTGAGCAAACATTTTTTTTTCCATAGGAGCAATTTAAAAGGACTCATGTTTCTGTTCTGAGGTTTCAGAGTCTAGATGATTTGAATCAAATCCTCCCCCCCAGCCCTCACCAAGTTGTTTATGCTTACAGACTTGAAAGGAATTTTTAATTAAAATTTTCAAGCAGCTTATCTAATTTCATACTCTTTAGTTAAATGAAAAATAGTCTGAGTAACAGATTTAAGCTTCAATTGGTTGTCTTTTGGACAAACCAAAAGTTAGCACATTATGCCTAAAGAATGAATCTGTTTGAAATGGAATGCAGCTCAGATATGCTACCACCAACTATGCTGTTCTAGGTTAAGAGAAGAAATAAAATCATTTCTTAAAGAAATGGTTAGAAAAGAAACCAATTCTTTTTAGAGCTGTTTCACAAATTACTGATAATTTTTAAAAATGCTTGTAGAAAAACTTATGGGAGTTAGAACAACAGTAGCCATTCTAAAATTTGTATATTTCTCAATCACAAGTGCCAATGGCACCTACAACCTTCTTATATCAGGTTAAATAAGATTTATTCAAAGGTTGCACAGCTGTTTTTCAGGTCATTTCATTAAATATTTATTAAGTGCCTATAGTATGCAAATCACTGTACTAAGCACTGGGATACTGAAGACAAAACTGAAAAAATCCCTACTCTTAAGGAGCTTCACTCTACTGGACTGGAGAATCTAGTGCTGGTGAAATGAGAAGAATATTTTTTTAGAATGAAATTTTATAAGTGATGGAGTATCACAAAACATTAAGGTCCTAAAGTCTGACCAAAGTATTCTCTTACCCTTATAAACTACTTATATAGGTAGATTAAACTTATTGCCAAGCATTTACTTTGCCCTCTCTGTTGAAATTATAGATCCTTATGTATCTTGACTTCTTTATATGCATTACGGAGATATAATTATAGCACAAAATGAAATGACAGGCTAGAGAAAAGAGAAGAGCACAGGGAGAATACTAATGAATTTTTAAAAAATTTTTCGTAAATGGATATTAGTGTAAGAAACTGGTAAAAAAGAAAAGACCCTAGATGAAGATGAGCCTAGTTGAGGAGCTGCCAAATGCTGCTGACAGGACTTCCCAAATGTCATCTTAACAACTGAAAAAAACCTTTTAAATAACCTTTAGATCTAAAAATAAATAGAAAAATACTCTTGCCAGATACATTTTAATTAGTTACCTGTTACTCCCTCTTACCTGCAAGTGTTCAGCCCAGAACATTTCGGTCAACTAATGCCTATCCTGACTAACTCTATCACCAGCAGAATACACATTTAAAATCCCTGGAAGAAGTACTAATTTACAGCAAAAGAAAATGAAAAGGACAAGTACAATTTTATAGACTCAGGTGGACTCCTGAATATTAACCACAAGATACAGGACTTTAGCTTCTTTCCTTATGCAGTGAATAGAACCACTAAACTGTCACTCTGCTGCAATTTGTCTTAATACAGTTCAGAAGAACAAGTTTTGATATGGATTATTACTTTAAAAATCCATCTATGGCCATATAAAAAGAAGCACAAGTTGAGGTAAGTGGCCAGTGAGGCCCAGCTTTATTTGTAAAGTCATTAATTGTCACCTTATTCTGCTTATTACACAAAGAACACAGATTTCCACCATTTATTTTTAAAAACATGGTTGATGTTTTGTTTTTGTTTATTTTTTGCATCACAGTTAACTAGATTCATCTTCATCTAGGGTCCTTCTTTGTTGTCGATTTCTTACAGTAACATCCATTTACTCTCCCCTGCCAAAAAAATTCCACTAGTGCTCTCCCTGTAATATTCTCTTTTCTCTTGCCCTGCCTTTTATTATCTCCATAATGCACTTATATAACAGCACTCATTGAACAATCTATTGACAATGTATTAAAATTTAAAAGTTAAAAAATATGAATATATCTACGTGTCTATGACATTCTGATCCTCTATTCTCCTATCTCTCTATGAAGGAGTGGAAAGTATGTTAGTGAGTTTAGATATAGATATAGATGATAGACATAGATAAAGATATACACTCACATATATGTAGAATCCATACATTTATTCATGCCTGCATTCATTTATTTGTTCATTCATTTATGTCTCTCTATTTCTCTATCATCTATATCTTATTTACTTACCATATTTATGTATGATAATGAATCTCCACCCAATCTAGAAGCATAGGGGTTTTATCTCAATACTGATCAGCACAGAAATTCCCAACCTGTGTTAGTTCACCAATCTTTAGGCAGAGTGTTGGACCCTTACTCCCAGTGTCTCCCCCAATTGATATCACGCAGGCAGACATTCAACTGGCTTTAGCCCTGTTCCAGCTCAGAACTCCTGAACTCAGCTGATCAATCCAGGCTAAGTATCCCCTAGTGGGAAGTATTACAAAGATGCATTGCCATTCCTGCTGAAACTTAATAATAGCTTCCATTTATATAACATTTACTATATACCAGGTACTGTGCTAAACACTCTATGATTATTATCTCATTTGATCTTCACAACAATACTGGCAAATAAGTGCTATTATTATCCATATTTTACAGACGTTGAAACTAAAACAAATAGTGACTGAAAGATTTGTCCAGGGTTAAAAAAAAAATATTGTGTCTAAGGCTAGATTAGAATTCAAGTCTTCCTGACTCTGAGCCCTGCACTTTGTCCACAGTACCACTTAGTTGCCTCAAACATATCTTCATATCTTAAAATAAAAAAAAATGATAGAAAATGTAATCAAAATTCATTTTTTTGTGGTAGGAAATACAGCTATTTCACATTAATAATGTTTCATATTACATTTCAATAATTATGATGCCACGAGGTTATTGGCTTCTACAAAGAGAAAGTCTTTCCATCAGGAACATAAAGAATATCACAGATGAATTATCTCATAATAAAGCTATTAAAGATTCATAACTTCTGGGATTTTAATTGGTTATGATTGATCCCCATTAGAGTATTTGCCAATAGGAAGCATCTTAATGATTTTCCCTCCATCTAATTTAGGCATTGTTCATACTTACTGAACTTAATTACTGATAATAACATGAAAGGTGGTTTTATGAAGAAAGACTAAAACAAATAAAAACCTTTGGTGATAAAAAAGTTCTAATTTTCAGATCAAATTCCTAGCTATTACATTTGAAAACTTCTTTCCCACAAAAGAAAGGACATGCTGATTTAAAAAATAAAATAAAATAAAACATATCCTTTGACTTTTTTCTCTTGGATTAAGCTGTATTTCTTTAACAACATCCTATGTTCCTATTTTCTTTCATGATTTTTTAAAGTGTATTTCAGATCATTCACATTACACAAATCTCTCCTTTCTCCTCTTTAGATGTAATTCATTGTTAATTATTTGAAAAGTATGACGCTCAATCAAGAATTATGCAGGCTGAATACATGTTGAATGAACACTGCTTTGTTACATGGAACATCCATCTTGATAGAATCCAGAGACATTTTGAGTATTTCACCTATTCACTGAGCTAATATGTAGGTTTCAGGTTGTTTGGAGAACTTTTCCGCATCTGGGCTTTTTAATATCACAAAGAATTAAATATAATATAAATAGTCTATATGTATGCCCACACCTATAGTTTTTAAACTCAGATCAGGAGAGACAAAAGGAGGCATGTGGACTGATCAGCTTTATTCAAATGTAAATAACTTGTGATGCATCATATTTTTAATCAGATTTCAACATTATCTTCTAAGATTCAAGTTCAAACTTCACAGTTAAAATATTTCAACTTAATTTATAATTTTGTAATTGTTTATAAGGTCTGAAGATCAATTGATCATCTCCCAAAAGTAGAAAGTTCTGAAATTACAGATAGCAATTACTGAGCTTAATATGGCTACATGATATATTGCAATTAAAAAAACAACAATTGAGCAACAAACATTTGCACTCTAATTGTGTATTAAAAATATGGACTTTATTTTGTTCACAAGGAACATAAAGTATTGATCAGCTTTGATGCTATACCAAATTATAATTTAGAATGACTTGATTTATATCTTCTATAGTTTAAAATCAGTTATGGAGGAGGGATCATAATATAGCAGAAAGAGTTCCAGACTTATGAGTCAGGACAAACTGGGTTGAAATCAGATCTCAGACACTTATTAGTTATGTGATGTTGGGCAAGTCACTTAACTTCTCTGTGCCTCAGCTTTCCCATCTGTAAGATTCTATTTCATTTTAAATCTATAAGTATATATCTAATTTATGTTATACTAGTTCTTTAATATGCCTGGCTAATTAATACCCCTCAGCCAAGATCATTTTCCATCTCAACAAGCATGGACTTGTTGCTGAATGAATACATACATAACTTCATTTTTTAAAAAAATTAGATACATATCATTTGGCAAATATAGAACAATTTTTTTTTAAATTACAGGGTAGTCAGATATTAGTCTCATTCCACTTACTGTACAGTCATATCCATTTTTTTCTTTTTCTCTGATTGTTTTCCTCCAATCTTATTCACTTTTTATTACCTCTCTTGTCTCTTTCCTTCCTCTAGCTCATGGTATTGGGAGTCATGACTACTTCTGGATACACCTAGGAAGGAGCTTTTCTGATGCTATTTGGCAGCAAATTCAAAATCTCTGAACTATTAAGTAAAGTTTAGTGCTGATAATGAAGATGCATGCTATATGCTATGCTCACAGAGCACTTCACATAGTTCTTTATGCGCTAGTGTCATAAGAGATAGGGCAATCTACTAAATTCATAGTAGTTAAGTGGTATCTTGTAGACCCCCCAAAAAAAGTTTTACCAAATTTTTCATGTTATGTAAATCTGACCTATGAGAGGTAGCTTGGAGACTGGAAAATAGAAAGCTAGTCTTGTCATCAGAAAGACTTGCATTCCAGTCTCACCTTCTACACATACTGGCTGTGTGCTACCTTGGTAAATTTGTAACTTCTCAGTGTCCCAAGAACTCACTCACTAAAATTGCAGAAAAAGATGCTGATTTGCATTGGTTGCAGGAGTTTTATAATTCATGGAGTTAGCTATATCAATCACAGGAGCAGTACCTATCCATGTCTTTATATGTGTATATATTTATGTGTATTTGTGTGTTGGTGTATATTTTTTTTCAATATAATAAGTGCCCTACTGTTGAGCAGTGATCTCATTGTCCTCATGATCCAGACAATGGCTTTAATTTGGTTTCACTGAGAAGTGAGTCATTGCTTTAATCAAATGATTTTGTTCACCTGGTTTGAAAGATAAATTGTTCATCTAATGCTTAAACTGAGAGCAAAAGCAATTAGTATGGTGGATGCTACTTTAAGGAGAAAGTGTTGTGTTTTTCATCTTTACAGCAGATGCAGGAACATAAGGCCGTCAGTGGGTATCATGCTAAATTGTCACTGAATTACACAAAATCAACAGGCTTTAACAAAATAGCTAGTGTTTTCAAACTTGTTGTCAGATTAGGGCTTTTGCCAATCTTCCTTACAGAAAGATGCCCATTTATTGTGGCTTGAATTGACATATGGAGGTGATCAGGGAGAAATTTCAGGACCATTTGGGAAATCTAATGTTTGTATGAACAAATTCACATGGTAAGGCTACAATGTTTGTTTATTTTCTCTCTTCTTCTTTCCAGCTAAGTCATTCGTGTGTGTGTGTGTGTGTGTGTGTGTGTGTGTGTGTGTGTGTGTGTGTGTGTGCGTGCCTCTCTGTTGTCTTAGTAATGTTATTGGCTTTGTCCATGACTTTATTACCTCACCACTTCAATGATAAAATACCAGGCATTTAAAAATAAATTTATTGTAAAAATAATCTTAATAATGTTGATAATCCATGTGGCATAATGAATAGAGATCTGGTTTTAGAAAGAAGAAGGAGTCAAATTCTATATTTGACATAGATTAGCTCTGTGACTGGGAAAATCACTCACACTAAGTATGAGTGGATCAGAAGATGCAGAGAAGCATTAGTAGAAGGACTTCTATCTTCCTCATCTCCCTACTCTAATCAAATCACAGGGCCAGTTCCTAATTCCATAAACATTGTTTTCATTAAGTTGTGGGAAATTTAAAAAAAGAAAGCAAAACATTTTGGTCAGTGAGGTTTTTTTTTTAAGGAAATAGATGAAGACCTCAATAATCCCATTTTCTTTATTCTTATTCTTCTGATTTCATGTTATCTTGAGTTATTTTCACATTGTTGTCATTTTTATTGTTTAGTTGTTCAGTCTTTTCTGATTCTTCCTGACCCTGTGGGCCACAGAGCTCCAATACTATCCATGGGGTTTTCTTGGCAAAGATAACTTGAGTAGTTTGCTACTTCCTTCCATAGTGAATTAAGGCATTTGAAGGGTGAAGGGATTTGTCCAGGATCATACAGCTAGGAATCTGGATTTGAAGAAACTTAAAAAAAAAATCAAAAGGCTAGATTTGAACTCAGGTGTTCCTGACCACAGGTCCAGCACTTTGTCCACTGAGCCATTGAACCTGCTTCTATTTTTTTCAGATATGCAGTTCTAATTCAGAAGACACTTTTGGGC